ACTCCAAGAGGGAAGGGGTGAGAGAAAACAGAGGAGAGACCCATATTTAGGAAGCAACTGTTCTGAGGATCTCATACTGGTAAATTGTATACTGAATAAGGCCCCGAAGATGCAGGAGTTTTTAGTATAAGCTTCTAAAGAAGAACTCCACAGATTGAGAAACTTAGCTTCAGTAATTTGAGTCTTGTTAGGGGACAATGTTGATAAAAGTACCTGTGAGAAAACTGGTGAGTGGAGGAGATGAGGATGTGTCTAAAGCAAATAGCTGACAAGGAAAATTAATGTTGAACAACTTAATTTTTTGCTTTTTGTAAGATTGGAATTATGTATGTGTTTAATTACAAGCTTTCCCCATCAGGCCAAGATCTTTAAAATTTCACTTTGGTGCTGAATTATCATAGAATCATGGAATTGTTTTGGTTGGGAGATACCTTTAAGATCATCAGTGGTTGGACTTGATGATCTTAAGGGTCTTTTCCAACTTAAGTGATTCTATGATTCTAAATCCAACCATTAACCTAACTCTCCTGAGTCCAGTTCTAAACCATGTCTCTAAGCACCACATCAATACATCTTTTAAACACCTGCAGGGATGGTCATTCAGCCACTGCCCTGGGCAACCTGGTCAGTGTTTGATAACACTTTCGGTGAAGAAGTATTGAAAAAAAAAGCAGTGGTTCCTAAAAAGAAGTCATCATGTAACAGAACCTTCAGATACTGTTCCCTGTTTTCTTGGGTTGGGTCACATGACTTTTCATCCTGGTACAGTGACCTTGGTAGTACTAAATCCAGCTGAATTAAAACATTTTTCAGTGTTCCAAAGCAATCTCCTACACCAAGTGGAAGTCACTTCACTTCCTAAAACTTTCTTTAGCTTCAGGTAGTTGAGTAGACAACAATTATGTTCTTTTTAGTTGTTCTTTGTTTCTGCACAGATGGTTGTTTTTTCATTGGGAAAAAATATTACACAAAATCTGTAAAAATAGTCATGCAAGCCTGAGATTGTGCTCCTGCTTTTAAAAAGGAAGTTGGTTAAAATAACTTGCTGTGTTAAAACAGTAAGCAGTTTCTGTATTCATTAGTTACAATAATCAGGAACTGGAGGAACTAAGCAAACAAAGACCTTTATTTTGTCCAGGCTTCACTTTGAGAAAAGCTGGTCTAAATAAATGTCTTTAAGTTGTGAGTGAACAAACAAGTTTGCTACTTTTTGGACCAAAAGGGTAATAGTTAAAAAATAAAATAAGAAGTTTTGAAGGTTTTAAGAAGAAAAAGACAATAAACTGAATCGTAATAGCACAGTAAGGCTTATTGCACAAAAACTGTGTTTAAGTTCCTAGGAACAGAAGATGTGTGTTCAGGAGACTTTTTTTTTTTTTAGTTGGATGGAGAATTCTTGAGCCATTGAGCCTCATTTAATAAACTGTGGAATGCAAGAAGAACTAACAGAGAGGCACAACTAATGATGTGTTTTATTTAGAGAACCTAAACTGGATGACTGGAGTAACTGTGGCAGTTAGTCTGAGATTGATAATTAAGAGAATTCTAGGCTGAAAGGCCTGAAAATGCATTGTACAAAGCAAGGTGCGATATTTAGTGTCAGCCAAGACTTTCAGTGAGTGAGTCCAGAATATGCTTCAGTCAGAATTTGCCAAAAGGAAGCCTTTTTTCTAAAAAAGCAAACTGATTAGTAAATCTGAGCATCAAGTTTTGAAAGCATCTAATGACTGGTTAGTTTGGTCTAGCAGACTTTTTCTATAGAGTGTGCTCAGTTTCCTTCTAAATAACCAGAAGAATATGTAGTTAAGATTTGCAGGTGACTTGCATAGAGGAATAGATACAGAAGAAAATGAGTATTTAGCAAATGTGACTTGCAGAAACTTAATCTGAATTTTCATATTGCCAAATGTTTGGTCTTTGTCCAAAAAATGAATGCCTGTGATGTGGAAAGTGGGATCTAGGAAGGAACCTAAGGCACCTTGTTGGCAACCAATTTACCGTGGACCTCCATTCTACTAAAATAATGAAAAGCTTAATCCATAGATGTATGGATAATATCAAATGAAACTAGAGAAACGTTAATAATTTTGCATGGCATTAGGTGTGATGTCCTGTGCCATTGTCAGCACCTCAGAAAGTTTCCTGACAGATCTCAAGTGGTCTTGAAAACCCGACTTGTGGTTTGTTTGTTGTTTTTTAAAAACTACCTTGCATTTGAAAAATAAAAGCCTGATTTTTCTTACCAGGGATGCTGTAAAATAATTAGGTACAATCAGGAAATAGATAATATCTATTTAAAATTATTTTTATAGCTCTATGATGTAGCAAACAGACCCGTCAGTGTAAACAGTCAGGTTGGAATTTGTCTATATTTTGACAGTAAATGTAAATTTTGCAACAATTCATGGGACAGTATCATGTGTACTTTGATTCTTCAGTCTTTATTGAAGTTTATAGATATCGAGTAGCTGTCTAGTTCAGTCAGAAGTCTAGATGTGACTTAGAACTCTTGAGATGAGATTCTGTGATCTGTGTTATGCACCATTTCATGTTATTGATTGAAGAGCATTCCAAATTGTCCTCAGCCAGACTTGGGTAACTCCACAACTAGAGGAACGAAGCATTGTGCTGCCAGATCAGATCAAGTGGATGTTTGCTTAGTTGTGACTTTGAAAGTGACTGAAACTTTGAAAGTGTCAATCTTTCTGGCAGTTTCATGAGCATATCTGAATTGTAAGGCGTTGACAACAGAAAACTGAAGAGCTTGTTTGGGATCATTAACCTGGGACAGCCTTCTCACAGGAGTGTCCTTTTTGTAGCTTAGCCTTCATAGCTTACTTCTCTGACTGCTTTGTACAATATGCTGGCCTTCCTATGTGGGTGGGTACCCTGTTTTAGATTAATAGTTCTGTGTAGAACCCTGTTAGCATAGTTCCATCTTGCAAAGTTTTGGCATTGCCTGGTGAAGCCATGAGGAGTCCCTACAAAGACAGAAAGGAATGAAGAGCAACTGATTGTGAGTTACTATACTGTAGTAAGTGCGGATTAATTCCAGTGGTGACTTTCTCTACATGTTTAGTTTTGTGGTGGTAAAGATAAATAAACCCCTTTTGATATGGACTGAAACAGTGCTACTTCAGTATTAGATGATGCCATGTAACTTTTACAAATGTTTGCATATGTTTTGCAAAAATAATTTTCACATCAGTTGTGTGCTGCTGTTATGTATTTGAACATATTGATAAGCTTATGTTTTTTTATTTGTAGCTTTTAGAAGGACAAGTGTACTGACTGCTTAATATTTAGAGAGTACCCTGTTTGTACAGAAAAAAAGGCAAAGTACCTCTCCAGGAAAGGCATAGCCAACTTCCCCACATTCATCAAACAGAAATATAATCTGATAGCATACACACAGATTAAGTGAATACTACAGCATCTTTTTCATGATGCTTCCCTCTCTACTACTAACAAGCTTTAAAAGTTTTTGTTAGAAAGCAGTTTTGAGTTTCCTAAGAGACAACGAATGTTATAAGTAAAGTTCATATCTAAGTTCAAGTCATTCTGCTTTCTGCCTCTAACATACAGCCTTACCTCATGAAAGTATGTAGGCAGTAGCTCTGGAGTGGGATGTTGCTGTGTGGTGGGAGATTGTTCTCATTTCTTAGAGCAGTTCATATGTTCAGGATTGTCCTTGCTTCTTATAGTTCAGCTGTACTCATTTTTCAAAGCAATAACCTAATTGCTTGTACTAATTAAAGCCTGTTAGCAAAGCAGTACAGTATTTAGGTCAGCTTTTCTTCAGTGTCCTTTCGTGCTTGTGCCTCCTGTTCTGGCATTTCCCAGTTGCTGCAGGTCCTCTTTTCAGACTTACAGCATGTCAGCCTTCATTGTGATGCTCAATATTCTACTTCTGTCCTGTTTTGCTCTAATCCGCCTGACCCATTTTCTGTATTGTCACCCTGCACCACCAGTCAAGACAAAAGGCTGGAAAAATTCAAATAGCGGCTGTCAGAGATGTACATAGCTAGACTGGTTTTAACTGGTCAGTGTAGAGTGGTCAGTCTGACTTACCCTTTGATTGGAGTGATCTGTAGTTTGGTGTCTAGTCTGCAAGCCTGGTGAAGGTTCAGAGTGCATTACTGTTGAGCAGGAGAAGGTTAGCCCCAAGAAACTTACTTCCGTCTCTCAATTCACTTGCTAAATCCAGATGTATATGAATGTTTGACATGGAACTCTGCATTGGAGTGGATTCTTTGTTGTAGGAAAGGATGAACTGTGGGGTATGTAAAATGAACTGTGTGTTGCTCTCCTTCAGTAAATCTTTTTCAGTGTTAAAATTTCTCAGTTGATACTTCCAAGATGTAGTGTTCTTGTGCAAATACAATTTTGTAGACAAAACATTCTTAAATGGGATCTCTTCAGTCATATAACTTTTTCTTGGATTCAGATGCACTTTTAGACCATTTCCCATGTAGCATGGAATTTGCTTGTGTAGCGGAACAACTATTTATTTGTTTATCTTAAATCTATTCCATTCCATTCTTGAGGTAGGTCTTATCCTCAGCTTGGCCATCATTTTTACAGTTATGCCTTCTTTCCCATCTCCTATGGCTGACTGTCCCACTCTTTGTTTAAAAATTCCTCCTGGGATTTCATTCTAACATGTGAAATGGAACTTGTCTGTTACCAACTGACCTGATAGTTCTTTATGAGAATACTATTCATATTTCTGGAGAGGAAGATCTTGAAACTTTGGGAAGAAATTGAAGCTTGGCTTAATACTTCTGGAAGGAGGATAAAAATATTTCTAAAGCAAACAACTAGAAGTATACAGAAATCTGTTCCTTCACATTACTTTCATTATTTATCTTTTCTGGCAAGGTTAGACTGTTCTCTGAGAACAGTTTTCTGGAGTTTGAAAATCAGTTAGCACACTGAGTAACAGCTATAGAAGAAATCTATTTAAACAAATGCTTTAATGTTGTATTTTCTCCAATTAGGAAATTCTTTCTGGAGTTGTGGTCATAACAAGTAAGGATGCAGTCCAGCACCAAGGTATCTCATTAACAATGGAAGGATCAGTAAATCTGCAGCTTAGTGCCAAAAGCGTGGGTGTGTTTGAAGCTTTCTATAACTCTGTCAAGGTAAGACCTGTGCAAGTTTATATTTTTAGCACAAGACTTTTGTCTCTTTCTCTCAGATTGTGTTACAGCACTTCATGGTATGCAAATGATAGAAAACAGAAACACTCAGCATTACCTAGGGGTATATGATGATGTTTTGGGGGAGGAGCTTGCACTGATTTGAGAGTTTTTTCTTTGGGGCTGGAATACAGTATCATAAACAGTATGGTTACTGGATAAGGCATTGAAGGACCACGATTTGAAGTAAAATTGTGTCTTTTTATTTTTAAGTGACTGGGTTTAATTGGGCTTTTTGCCAGATCAGTCACTATCACAATAGTTTCTGCAGAGGTCATTGAAATTGTGTGTTGCTAGGCATGCTACAGGACATGCACAGGTTCTTCTGTAGAGGACAAAGCTGTGAGCAGACTGATTTGCAGAGCTCCTGGAAGGCCTCTGCACTGCTCTCTAGGTTTGGAAGTGTGGGATTTGGAATCTAGCAGGACAGGCTATCTCAGGCTCCTCATGAACATGGCTGTGCTGATTGAAGCAAGGCTGGCTCTGTCTAGAGACAATATAGTTATATTTGCAAAACAGTTTGCTTAAGTTAGGATAGCCTTAGTGCAGGGCCTTTTAAGGTCTTCATTTGTATCATAGTTGATGTGTTTACAGCATGAATAATCTGTCCATGAATGATTGAAAAACAGAAAGAAGAGGAGAAGCAATAGATGTTCTTATTCCTGTCAGTAAAGGGAAAATAATAGTAGAACTCCAGACAGAAAAGAAATGTAATCTCTAAGCAAACTTCCTGGGTTGAATCATAGTTAACCATTGTTCCAGGGAAAGACTATCCCTAAATACAGGTCTTTAGGGTGGGAACAGGACAGGGAGACGGTGGGAGGGAATGGCTAACTGCTCAACTGGCACACATATTTGTTGATTCCTTTTGATACTGTCAAGGGTTATAATTTAGAAAATGGAACTCTGCTTTCCTAAGTGCCTGAGATGCTGCTGTTTAGCTCTCTGTTTGGTCATTAGTATGGTACAACCATGAAATAGATCACAAATTGTTTTCTTGAGCAAAGCATTCTTACTATTCCTTTTCATTGTAAGACTGGAGAGCTGTGTGTCATGAAGAAATACTTGAGTTCCTGGAAATTCAGGAAGTCTGTTAGAGTTTAGTGGATGCTTTTAGTTCTTGAAATGATGGGGCTGTAAGTCTGCTTCAACCTAAACCTCTTAATAATTCTCTTTACAGCCTATTCAAATTATCAACAGCACTATTGAAATGGTAAAACCAGGGAAACTTCCCAGTGGGAAGACAGAAATTCCGTTTGAATTTCCACTGAATATGAAGGGGAACAAAGTTCTATATGAGACATATCATGGTGTCTTTGTTAATATTCAGGTAAGGCAGTCATATCGGCAAAGAATATCTGGACTCTTGTTATCTGCAGAATGTATTCTAAAGCGTCTCTTATTCCATGGAAACAGAGGATAAAATTTTGTAATGATGTTTTCTTTTCATAATGCAATATGTTTTCTTTTCTCAGTTGGAGGAACAAGCAGAAAGTTAGAGATCCTTTGAAGTATATAGCTTTTAAACTTCCCTTTATTAATATAGTATTCACAGAATATACAGTGTGTACTGTAAATTCTAGAGATAACTTTACATTAAAAAATCATGATACATATTAACCTTCTAGTACTAGTTTATAAGTAGTTTCTAGTTGCCTTTTTCAGTTTCTAGGAGTCAACACTTTCCACAGGTGGTAACACTTCTTCAGTGTTGCAGAGGGATCATCCCAGGATCTTGGAATCCCATCAATATAGTTTTGCTTTAAACAAATGTTTATGATGTCTCTTCCCCTTTTTTTTACAGCAAGTGTAAGCTTTTCATTGGAATTAGTTGATGGTAATAAATCTTACCAGATGTGACATGGGATGTACAAGAAATAATTAAAAGCATACTGGAAAGAGGGACTTTGGGTTGAGAAAGGATAAAAATGTATTTGTCGTGCTCGTTAAATCCTGTGCAGTTCTCTTACAGGATGATGTTTTCATCTAGTTCTGATTTTATTGTGAAAGAAGTTGCATTTACCTTTTTGTAGATAATCTGTATACTGGTACATACACAAGTATACAGATACCAGTGTCTTTGCTGTTAACGTAGTACTACTGATACTTTGTTAGCATAGTAGATAAAAAATTACTGCTAATAATACTTAAATATTAAAAATTAAGTGTACTGACTTACCAGATCCATTTCAAGATACTGGGATAAATCCTACAGGAGCAAAGCTACCTAGTGTTCAGACTCTGTTTTGTTGTATTCATTTGTGAGAGGCATCCTCTAACTAAAGGAAATCCTACCATTGCTTATTGTTTCTGGTCTTCCATATAGCGTAAATCTTTAAAGAATGATGGCTCAAGCAGTAACAAGATGTCTTGCCTGAAATACCATGTCAGAACTACTGTATCATGTATCTGATCCCTCCTTATGTTGTAGACAACTATATCCATTCCCTTCATGAAAAAAGATTCCACCAGTCTCCTTTTGTTCAAAACAAATGTGGCTATGTAATTTCATAATGAAGACTCAAAACAAAATGTTGAGCGCTTTTAGCATCTTCCCTGTGGAGATGACTGGTAACATTTCCTGCCCAAATCTGTACTAGATGTTTTTAACAACCCTGTGGAAAGACAGTTTTTAAGTTTAACCTTTTTTGTTTAAAAATTGTCTTACAATAGGAGGGTTCATTTGTTGAGAGTTGTTGGGTTTTTTTGAGGGAAAGTCTTTCTTCAGACATGTCTTGAATGTAAATATTATGTTAGACAATGCTTTTTCTTACCAAGAAGTAGTGGTTTGGGTTCTTGGTTTTTTCCTCAAGGAAAAATTTGAAGAAGCCACTAAATGTGAAAATGTTCAGACCAGTGCTGTTGAAGAATCTATGGGTTGTAACATTTATTTTTTTTTTTGCTTCCACTTGTATCTCACTGATGAGAGTGTTGGATTTGATGACAGTATAAAACCATTAGCAATTTAGCTGAACTGCATGTCTTACATGTCTGGCATTTAAAGAAAAACAAAACAAAACCCCACAAAAAAAACCCTACCTGCTAGCCTATCAGAAGTAACCAAAAGAAAAATTCACTTGTTTTTTGTCTAGGTTCAGTTGTTTTGTTTAAGAACTTCCCATATGTTTTTTCAGTCTTGGCTGTCTTCCTAATGTAACGTCTACTGTTTGTGGTATGTCAAAAATGGTGCAAAGCTGGTTGAGTTGCTTTCCATAATCCAGATAAGTCGCTTATGATCAGTATCAATTTTTTTAAGGTATACTTTAAAGCTGAATATTTGTTTTGTTTTGTCATTCCCTCTCTACATTGCTTCTCTTTACAAGCTGGGGATAAAATGTTATTAAAAGGTTAACCATTAGATTTCAGCCAGTCCTGCACTCCTGAAGGGGAAGTTGTAGTCTCTCCCAAGGTTATTTAAGGTTATTTAAAGTGCACTGATACCTGATAAAACAGATACATAGATACAAGTTGGGCAATGTTAAGTCTCTTTTCTAGGAAATCAGGCTTGAACCACTTAAAAATACTTTGCTAGTTTTAAATAAATCAAAGTAAAGAGTTCATTTGTTTGGAACATGTTTATACTTCTTTGTCTGTGCAAATCAAGAAATAGAAAAATAGACTACAGTTTACCACCTATTCATTTTTTCAGCTGAGTAACGAAAGGTGCTGTTGAAGAAACACTCCCTAGGCTTCTGTCCAAGTCCTGTGCAATTTAAAAGCAAGCCTTTCTTCCTTGATCTAGCTAGTAGTATGTTAGCTGGGGGTTCAGTGTCAAGATTCAAGTCTCTGTTCTCATGCAGAGATCTTCTAATTAGGCACTGATGGGGAGGCTGTGGGCCAAATTGCAAGGCATGTGTGGTCCTGCAGCCTCATTACACTGTATTCTGTGGTCTGAGTGAAGTGTAGTTCAGCAATAGAATGTTTGCTCAACAGTGATCAACTTCAGTGGAAACCATAGTCTGTGATGGGGAAAGAGATATGCTCCCTGATCTTGTTCTTGCACACACGTTCAGGTTACCTGCAGAGAGAGACCATAAACTAGAAGTTACAAAGCTGAGTGCCTTAGTCTGAGTGTACCTAGTTTTTGCCAATTCCACATCTGTAAAGAAGGAATTAAAACCAAACCAAAACAACAAAAAAACCTCCCTAACAAATTCCCTATCTTGTAAGGACATCAAAAGGCTGTGTTTTAGATGCTGTGTGATAATCAGGGTTGTGCCATTTTTAAGTCACTGGTTTACGGCTCCTTTTGTAGGGAAGAAAGGGGAAGAAACAGGCAATTAAATTCCTCATTAAATATGCTTATAACTGTTACCACTGTGAAATTGACTGTAGATTGAATTTAAAATTAGAAGGCAGTTAATAAATCTTATTGATAATCACTTATCCAAAGTATGATGAAAAGCAATACTGTAGTCACTTAACTGAATGTCATTTGGGTGCCGAAGCCATTCAAGGGCACTACTGTCTGTCAGAAAAATTGTCCCTCAATCTCGTATGTTGTCACATAGCACAGAAGGTATGGAAAGCATTTGAAAAGGGCTATGGGACTGTAAACATAAAGAAAAAACATCTTTCATTTGGGAGCATCTAAAAATCATCATATACCTCTTATCTGCTCCCCCTCTCCTCATCACTGGCATATACATTGCCTACCAATCTGTTGTAAATTATGTCTTTAATATTAGCAACAGTAACATTCTGTATATATGCAATAAAAAGATGAGAAGTTCAGAGAGATAGAGGAAATACCAGCTAAGGCTCTTTTCTTTTTCTCTGCCATCTTGTTCTTCTCAGTATACCCTACGGTGTGATATGCGACGTTCTCTGTTGGCAAAAGATCTAACTAAGACGTGTGAATTCATTGTTCACTCATTGGTAAGTGGTTTGTATTAACTATATAAAGTGAGATATTTTTTGTTGGTTGGTTTGTTCTGTTTTTCACTTTAAGCAAAGTTTGCCAATAATGTTGGTTTAGAAAACCAGGTGAACTAATTTAATCTGTAATAGCAACCCATGGGATATGTATGATTAAAGGAAGTTAGCTTCAAAAAACTCCCAACAAAACATCCAGAAGAGCCAGGGTATCAGTTGCTTCTGATCAGAATAACTCCTCTCTTTAAGTAAATTTATTTAAATAAATAAAGAAAATGGTACAGAGGATTTAGATTTTAACATCTTTTTATACTGCACTGAGTTTTATTCTCTTATTCATCCTTTCACTTCTGAAACAGTGGTGTAGGTAAATACCATGATGTTCTTCTACACAGCGTTTCAGATTATCTGAGCATTTTTTTTAGCCCAAGGTTCTAGGCACCCACAGTGCCTGTCTTAGAAATGGGAGTTCGTTGGTGAAAATGTCTGATTTCTTCAGAAGACTAATTGGGATTTAGAGCCCTGACTCAAAGTATCAAACCTGGGACTACATCAAGGTGGAAATAAGAAGCTTGTCACCTTAATCATCTTTGCCAACCGTTGGCTTACTTAATTGTAGTATGCTAAGATAACTAGGTTACCAAATATCCACATCCTGGGGTCAGTATATAGAGTCAGCCTTCTTCCTGTGGAGATACCACACGGGATGAGATTTGACTATCTCACAAGAAATGCTTTGCTGCTTGTTATTTGAAGTTTCTATGTCAGATTGGTTTTTAGTTTATATTGACTTGTACACATGTCCAGGGCATCTGATGTCAGTACAAACTGTGCTGGCCTAATGAAGTAACTTCTTTTCCCACCCACAACTTGCTGGAACACGTTGTTCGGATCATGCCTTTGAACTCTAACAGGACAGTAAAGTATTAGATTCTTTTGTCTTACTTATGAATAACAGTGGAAACATGTTATTTTAATTCTGTAGTACCTTTTTTAAAGTTTGGCTAGGTAGAAGTTTTTTGTTCGTAAGTTTTCATTATTTTCTAAAACATATTATGCTACATTTTATTGGTCCATTATTGCATTATAAGTAAGCCACACTTGTCAAAATAGTGAACAAATTACATATTATGCTGTTTCATGCTTTTATTTCTTGTTCCCACTACAGCCCTTCTTAGATCACAAGTCAGTAAATCATGAATCTCCCAGTTAGGGTGAATTAATGAGGTTTTACTGAACATATAATTCTCACTGTCAGTGCTCAATGTACCATTTCCCTTAACCTTATTCTTTGCCAGAATTTGTCATTTATGGGAAAATACAGTCAGTCTTTTGCTAATATCTTCCATCTTGCAGCTGGGCAGCAGAAGTTATTTTGAATTCTTAAGTAGTGAGAGTAGATCCTAACTTAAGCATTCAAGTTAAGCCTGTTGGTGGTGGTGTGCTCTGCCAGCTCCCAGTCACATCCAGCTGGGTCTCGTATTTGATGCTGCACTGGTTAGGGAAAAGGCAGTGCACCCCAGTGGGGTAAGGATGGAGTGGGAGCTCAGTGAATGTCAAGCAAAGCTTGTCTTTCTGATGCAGAGTATGAGCTGCGTGTTCAGCCCCTTACAGAAAGACTTGGCTTCTTGGGTTTGTCATAAACGTGTTAAATAGATATTGAACAACTGTAATAATGTGCCCCTAATATAGCTTCCCTAGTGTGGAAAGCTAACCTGGATCAAGTTTTATTTTACAATTAAAGAAGCTGGAATGTTAAGCCCATTAAATCAATGCTACGCTGAATTCCATCAGCTGAGGATCTCCCAGTAATATGGGGATGCTTAGGAGAGCTGAGCTCTGAGCTAGTATTGAAAGGGCAGGAGAAGGAGAGGGAGGGAAAGTTTATAAAATGTACTTGAAGCAATGGAGCACTCATTTATTATCTCCCCCTCTCTCCCCTACCCAAAATTATAAGTATTAATAATGAAGGGGAACACTGCAATTGACATATAAAATATAATTATTTGTAAATACAGAAATGTGAAATTTAGCTTTTTCCTAGAGCATACCCTGTGTTTCAGATAGGTAGTGTATTTCTTCTTTTTCAGGCAGTTTAGAGTAGTGAACCACATGGGGTTTTTTTAATAGTAGGTAGAACTTATGCCAAAAACTTACACATGTAGAGCTCGTTGGTGTATGGCAAACACAAAGTAACCAAAAATTGACACAGTTGGGTTTCCGCAGTTCAGATTTGTGATGCATGTGACACATATTTAGACAATATCATAATGCTATTTAATAACAAAGGCAGGAAACCTCAGGTTTTTTATTACGTAGGTGCATACTTTCAGCCTGAAAACTAACACATCCAACAGTAGCTTGACTTTGTTGCATTTTTTTAATATTCCCTGTTTCGTAAATTATAGTTTACAGTTTTAACTCTTCTTTCATTTGTAGTCACAGAAAGGGAAACTGATGCCAAGCCCAGTAGACTTCACAATTACTCCTGAAACTTTGCAAAATGTTAAAGAGGTAAGAGTGTTCATGTTATGTTATTTTAAATTTAATGCTTATGTGATTCTGAGTGAGCACAAGAGAGGAATGATTAAATGCTGCCCTGCTTTTTTTTTTCTTTCCCCTTTTACCTTTTTTACTTTTGTAACCAAAAACGTGATTCTGTCTGATCTGTTGTGACAGTGGTGACTGATAGAAGGTGGAACTTTGTTCAGTAATGGTGAGACATTTTTAACATTTTTCTGAGTGAGAGATAACAGTGAAGCAAGGCAAGATGTACTACCATCTTTTTTTTATGTTTGGTTTTTTTTTCAGCCCCACGTGGCTTTGGGAAGCCAGTATGACCAGTAGTAACTCTCTGGGTCATTTGGCTTTCTGAACACTGGTTTCTGTTTGTCCACTGACACTTGTGTTCTATTTTTCCAGGTTTTTCTGTTGTGATCTTTTTGTTAATAAGACTGCTTCCCTGCTTTAGGTCTCCTTTCTGCATCCTCAATTTGTCTTCCATTGCTCTTAGTCCTAAACTTCTGAATTTAGGTCTAGTCTTTCACCTTTTTGTCAAAACAGACCTCTTAATCAACTATTTGTTTGTTTCATGCTTTTTTTTTTTTCTTATTCTACATATTGACAGAATCTCTGTGGTTGGAAGGGACCCCTGGAGACTGGTTAGTCCAGCCACTGTGCTCAGAGCAGTCATCTAGAGCAGGTTGCTCAGACGCACGTCAAGTTTTCAGTATCTCAATGGATGGGGACTTGCAACCACTTGGCAATGTTACATTGTTTGACCACCCTCAAAGGATTATAAAATAAACTAATAGAAAAAATAATAATTCCCTTTATTTCAGTTTGTTCCCATAGCCTCTTGTTCTTTTGCTAGATTCCACTGATCAGCGTCTGACTCCATCTTCTTTACTCTTTCTAGTCCTAAACTTCTGAATTTAGGTCTAGTCTTTCACCTTTTTGTCAAAACAGACCTCTTAATCAACTATTTGTTTGTTTCATGCTTTTTTTTTTTCTTATTCTACATATTGACAGAATCTCTGTGGTTGGAAGGGACCCCTGGAGACTGGTTAGTCCAGCCACTGTGCTCAGAGCAGTCATCTAGAGCAGGTTGCTCAGACGCACGTCAAGTTTTCAGTATCTCAATGGATGGGGACTTGCAACCACTTGGCAATGTTACATTGTTTGACCACCCTCAAAGGATTATAAAATAAACTAATAGAAAAAATAATAATTCCCTTTATTTCAGTTTGTTCCCATAGCCTCTTGTTCTTTTGCTAGATTCCACTGATCAGCGTCTGACTCCATCTATTTATGCATATTAATAAAATCCCCCTGAACTTTCTGTTCTGCAGGGTTAACAATCCCAGCTCTTGGCCTCTACTTTTATGTCATGTGCTCTTAACCATCTTCATGACCAAATCCAGAAAAGGCTGGACTTGCTCTAGGAAGTCTGTGTTTCTTTTACTGGGAAGTCTTGAATTGGAGACGCTATCGTCAGCTTTGTTTCGCCAGTGCTGAAAAGATGGGGAGAATTGCCTCCCTCAGCCTGTTGGCAACACTTTCTAAAGCAGCTCAGGATGCTGTAGGCCCATTTGTCCAACCTGTTGAGGTTCCTGTGAAGAGCAGCACAACGACCTGGTTCACCAATCCTTCCGATTTTGTATTTTCTGCAGACTTGCTGGGGATGTACCCTGTCCCATCACCCAAGCCAGCACTGAAGATACAAAGTAGTATTGGTTCCAGTATTGACCCCACTCACTATTGTACACCACTGGTGACTGGCCTTCAGCTGAACTTTATGCTACTGATCACATACCTTTGAGTCCAGTAGTTCAGGCTGTTCTCAGTCCATCTCGGAGGCTGATCTGTACATCTGGTCTGTACTCCCATCAGTTTGTCAGTGAGGTTAGGAGAAAGAGTATCAAATCCAGCACCAAAGCCAATGTAAACAGTATCCAGTGATCTCTGCTTACCCATCAAGCTACTCATTTCATCATAGAAGGCTGTCAGGTTGGTTAAGTATGATTTCTTTTCCATAAATCTATACTGACTGCTTCCAGCTACTTTCTTGTCCTTTGTTTGGAAATGGCTTCCAGGGTTATTTGCTCCACTGCTTTTCCAGGGACTGAAGCAAGGCTGGCGAGCCTATAGTTCCTTAGATCTTCCTAACTGAAGAATGACATTTACTGTCTTGCATTTCTCAGGAAACCTTTGTTCATTACAGCCTTTCAAGGATAATAAAGATTGGCCTTACGGTGTTGTAGGTGAGCTTCCTCAGCACTTGTGGGTGGGTGCATCCCATCAGGTCCCATCCCCTGGTGTGCATCCAGGCTGTTTAAATATTTTCTAACCTGCTCCTCTTCTACCAAGGGTAATTCTTCCTTGCTCCAGACTTTCTCTTAGGTTGCAAGGGCCTGGGATTCCTGAAGGCAAATCTTACCAGTGAAGACTGAGGTGGAGAAGACATTAGTGCCTCTGTCTTTCTCATGTCTTTTGCTACTAGGACGCTGCCATGTTCAGTTGCAGGCTGGCATTTACCCTTGTCTTCCTTTTGCAGCTGGTAGACTTGCAGATGCCCACTTTTTTTTGCCTTTCTTGTCTCTTGCTTTAATTCCAGGTTGGCTTTGGCTTTCCTAAAACGATGCATGCACACTCAGATGGTGTTTTTATGTTCCTTCTGGGTCACCTGATCCTAATTTCATCTTTTGTATACTTCCTTTTTATTATTTTATCAGTACCATCTTGTTCACTCTTTCAGATCTCTTCTTACCTTTGCTTGACTTCCTGCATGTTGGAATAGACTATTCTTGAGCATGGAGGAGGTGATTCTGGAAAACCAACCAGCTATCATGCCTGAACTTCGAGGATGAGCAGGTTGTGTCCAGCAGCCTCTCATTTCTCTGGAGGTTGCTGCACACTGAAAGGATATGGTTTTCCAAATAAAAGGATATAATGACTCTTATTGGTGGGAAAATTACTTTTTAGACTATTGCTAAATACTAAGCTCTCAGCATTCTGCTTTTCCTACGAGCCATGTTTCTATATAAACGTTTTTTCTGTTTGTTTTTTCTCTTCTGTGTCTTGATTCTCTTCTCATTAGCTTAGCAAAGACTCAGTGGTGTACATCATGAGAAGGTCCTGCCCATGAAAAGCTTTCTTAAGTTCAGTAGCAGAGCCTGTGCCTTTTTCTGTTCTGAGTACATAACCACAAAAGTAGGTTCTAAAACTTCTGACATCTGTGATCCAGCAGAACTTGGTATTTAATTGTGGAGCTGTCTAAATAATGGTATTGAAACGTGTATGGTAGCACAAGTAGTGGCTTTTTTTTTCATTCCTCTCTCTGTCTCAGAAAATTGTATGGGTCTGAAGTGACTACCTGGTGGATAGGTAAAAAAAGTCACTGTTCTGGCATATTTAAAATACTAACATTTTAATTATCTGCTTGTCTGGAGATTGTGATTGACTTAGTATTCTAGTAGGCTACCAGAAATAATGAATAAAAGATTTTCAGTAGCCAAAAAAAGCTCAAAGATGTTAGATGGAACAAACAGGATAGATTTGATTGTATGTTCTTGATTCTCATTTTTGGGGGATTATGAATTGGAGTGCAAATGATAGGTCCTATGAGAGGTGACCTGGCTAGGATTAAAATATTAAGAGTACTAAGGCTCAAGTGGAAATACACCTTTAAAAGAACAAGTCTTATAGGCTAGGATTGAGCAAAATGGCCTTTAGTTCTTGTTCCATAAGTTCCTTTTGTATCTCTCTCTGAGGTTCCTGACAACTTGTGCTTCCAGGGATAACGATGTCCCTATGAAGCAAGGAAGCAACTAATTGCTTACTAATAGTGGTGATGGGGAGAACCTGGTAGGGATCATACAATAAAAAGCAATTTACTGATACATTATTAGGACCAAATATTTCATAGGGTGGTTTTATCAGGGATGGAACTTCTGTTATTTCAGCTGGGAGAAAATACCCAAGCAAGGTCACGTTTACTAAACACATGAAAATTTCCCTCTTTTTATTTCTCCCAAAGATGTATTTTGAGTGGAACAGCTAAATTCTGCAGGGGTGCTGGGTGTCTGAGTGAAGCAGTAAACAGTAGCTGAGGAGAATTTTTCTGCCATTGCTGCTGGCAGCCAGGACTAAGAAAACAAAACAAACAGATCGAGAGAAAAAAAGTTTGCCACCAGAGAGCTGGTTTGGAAGAAGGGAAAAATCAGTTATGTGGGCAATGAGATATGATGCCACAAGTAAGTGTGAACAGATGGTTGGAGGGTAGAGGCTAACATGAAAGATGTCAATAACAAAAAATCAAGGAGAGAGGCAAGAAAAAGGCTTGCAAAAGAAGGATAAGGTTAGAGCAGGATGCTCAAAGAGCTTGAAGAAAGTTGGATGGTGAAGATATAAGCTGAAGGTGCGGGTAGAAAACTCGACTGTTCCAGTATGCCTCCTGCCAGAACTTGACATACAAATGGAGCTTCTGGCATAAGAGTTTCTCTGCTGGCAGAGAGTATCTGTGATACCTGCTGGCCTGAAGAAGGGCAGGGCAGGGGGAGCAAGCACCCCACTTTGGTCTTTTATGGAAGATGATTTATAAACCTTCATCAGCTTTTCTTACTGCTCCTTCCTTAAAAAGCAGGAAGCATGCTTGCTGTTACAAAAATTTTCGAAGTGTGATTCTATTAAAATTAAGCTGGTCATTGTCCTTAATTGGTGTCTTGATACATAAGCAGTATGCTCAGCTTGCGTGACACAAAGATTTAAATGCTTGTCTTCCACTAGCAGTGGCCACAGGACAGAAATGTAAAAAGGTGGGAAAATAACAGAAACAATCACTGAGACTGTAATGTAATCCATTGCACTGCCAGCTGATTTAACTTGACCATCCTGTTAGTTCCTGCCAGCCTCCCTCCTTCATAGTGAGGTTCCTGACTTCTGGATTAGTTTAACAGCCAACTTTTGTCACATCATCCAAGGAAAAATGCTCCTGTGGATAGATGGTATGCATGGGGGGCTGCATGTCAAGGGGAATAGTAGTAGGAAATTCTGTAATGTATCTGCATAAGGATGCATATTTAACAACTTAAATGATGTAAGTTTCATGAGGCATATCTGAAGTTCTGAGTTGATAACTTTGCAGCTTTTTGGAGTTTTCTACATATTTTGATAACTGTCTTTCTGTAAGGTACTTTTTTCTTAGCCTGCTTTTACAGTTTGTTGGGTTTTTTCCCCTCAAATCTTTTCAGAGAGCCTCACTCCCAAAATTTCTCATCAAAGGTCATCTCAGTTCTACAAACTGTATCATTACACAGCCACTAACAGGGGAGCTGGTCGTGGAGAACGCAGAGGCTGCAGTCAAAAGCATTGAGCTGCAGTTAGTACGTGTGGAAACGTGTGGTAAGTGTCTCTATAAATGCCATGTGTATAGAAGAGGCTGCAGTAATGACCACTTGCATTCTTTTACCTTAAATATGAAAGATTGTCCAGAACCAGATCATTAAACAGACTTGCAAAAGATTGTGTTGCACTTCAGGTGGAACAGTCTGAACATAAGATCTGTGATCTTTAATTTGGAGTGTTAATGTGAAAACTTGGAGGTCAAAGGGCAAAATGTTTTCTACACACATACCTCTCCCCTAACCCTAGTGTATCTTGGTTGTAAATTTTGGCCACTGCTTTTCCTTCTCTTTCCCTTTG